TATTTAATATCGCATCCTCGTGTATCTCATTTTGAATATGTCTCTACTTTTGATACTTACAAATGCATTATTGTCGTTGGCTTTGCAGAGGTGCAAGCATTTTGAGATTGGTGGAGATAAGAAGGGAAAAGGAACTTCTCTTTTCTAAGCACCTCCCTATTGTGGAACTTGAAATCTCTCTTTTTACCATTTTTATCATTTGTGTTGACTTTGAGGTTTTATTTTTGTTTTAATGGCTGAGATGGTATTTACCAAGTAATAGATTAAACTTTGGACATGTATTGTCATATTTGTGGTCCAATGGCGAGAAAATGATTTTCTTAGGAAAGTCAGCAAATTTATTTTAACTAGGTTGTTTTTAATATTATTGAAATTTGATTTTTTATTTTTTATCGATGAGCAAAATCTAGTCAATACAGTGAAAAATATCTCTAAATTATGGCATTTAAATAAAAACCACAAGTATTTACCCAATTTTTCAACAAAATGAAATTGAGTTGCCGCTTGTTGGAGCTCAATGCGACATGGATTCAATCCCGGCTATGCCTCATTCTAGTAGTTGTCTACATGACATTGGGCCAGCTAAATTTGGTACGCATTAAATCCCATTAGGGCTCTTGGAATAACACAGAAGACACAAGTTTTTAATCATATATTTCATTAACTTTTATCAAAATTTATTAAAAATTTAATTTTAATTCTCATCAAATAAAACAAATTTATTTTTTCCTTTTCATGAACGAACTTTGGTACAACATCTGTTAGGTAACAAAATATCCAAATATTTTACATTTCTTATTGATATTTTTCAAATCATTGTTCTAAAATACATCTTAATAAAAAAAAATAAGACTCAAACAAGGGCGAACTATCAACAATTGGGGTGTTAAAATTCCAAAACAACCTGGCGCCATTTGATAAAGAATTACACGCGCCAAAATCTTCCCATTCTGAAAAAATTCACTCCCGCCACCGATTATAAAAGAATACTTTTAAAAAATGCCCTCCAAAAATTCCCCCGCCGCGCAATTCCTACATATACAATCCCCCAACCCAACCAATCGCCTCTGTATCAATCTCTCTATCTCTCTCTCACTGTATTCACATCTTCTACACGGAAAAATTAGTGAGTTTTTCTCAGATAAAGGAAAAATGGCTGAAATGGTGAGCCCAGATGCGATATCAACAATATTAGCGAACCCGTCTCCTGATTCATCTTCAGACTTTGCGGAATTGGTTGTACAAGTACTTGATCTCAAGCCTACTGGGAGCAAATTCACGAATTCCTCTTATCTTTCTAGTTTTTTACCCTAAAAAATGTTCAAGAATCAGCAAAACGTTTTTTTNGGGAGCAAATTCACGTATTCCTCTTATCTTTCTCGTTTTTTACCCTAAAAAATGTTCAAGAATCAGCAAAACGTTTTTTTTTCCTTTCTTTGTGTATGTATGTATCAAGTGGTGGCTAGAGTGAGATCTGGGTTAGCTAAGATTGATTCTGTTATACTTGCAATATTCGGATTTGTTTATTCAATAATTTAGAGGAAACCCATCTCTGAAAACCATTTTTTGTTTTTATATTTTAGTTTTAATTTTAGGTTGCATCCTCTTTCTGAATGATTTAGATTTTTGCTTAGCTTTTCCATACAATGTATGTTTTAATTTTCTTAAATAAATTGCTGACTATTTGCAGTTTTACGGCGAGTGATGGGAAAAAGAAGGTCAAGGCCATGTTTCAATCTACTTTATCGTCTTTAATCACCTCTGGGAGTATTCAGAACTTGGGTCTTATTCGGATTCTCGATTACACTCTAAATGACATCCCGACGAAGAACGAGAAGTAAAAATCATTTTGCCCTTTTTCTTGATTATTATGTCTTTTTATCTTTCTTTCTTTCCTTTTTTTTTTTTTTTGGTGTAGGTCTAAATCTATGTTAATATTAATGTGCAGGTACTTATTTGTAACAAAGTTTGAGACTGTTTCTCCGGCACTTGACTCCGAGTACAAGGCCGAGGCAGAAGCTAAGGACAGTGGTGATGAATTGAAGCCAAAGCAGGAAATGGATGTCAAAAGTGAAGTTAATGGTATTGTTTTGAAGCCAAAGCAAGAAATTGTTGCCAAATCAGCTGCTCAAATAGTTCATGAGCAACATCAAAAGTAAGTATTTTCTTGTATCTTCAATTGAATTTGATTTGAAAGAGTTGTGTGATGCCTTGATTTGATGTTGATGTGTGAATGTTGTTATATTAATGAATACCAGTATGGCACCATCTGCTCGAATGGCAATGACTCGAAGAATTCATCCACTTGTTTCCTTAAATCCTTATCAAGGAATTTGGACAATAAAGGTTCGTGTCACTGGTAAAGGAAACATGCGGTCATATAGGAATGCCAGAGGAGAAGGCTGTGTGTTCAATGTAGAATTAACCGATGAAGATGTGAGTGAATGTTGCTAATATATCTAAATTAGATCTTGTTTATTAGTTACATAGATGATCAGAACTGATGAAATTATTCATATGGTTCAGGGCACACAAATACAAGCAACAATGTTTAATGAGGCTGCAAAGAAGTTTTATGATAAGTTTCAGTTGGGGAAGGTCTATTACATATCAAAGGGAACTCTGAAAGTTGCTAACAAGCAATTCAAAACCGTGCAAAATGATTATGAAATGACATTGAATGAAAATTCTGAAGTTGAGGAAGCTAGCAGTGAGGCTACTTTTATTCCCGAAACAAAATTCAATTTTGTGCCAATTGATGAATTAGGTCCATATGTGAATGGGAGAGATCTTGTCGGTAAGCAGCCTTTCTGAAACCCTATATTACACAATACTTGCCCTTCAATATCTAATGTTTGTGTTTGTTGTGTTTTGTTGTTGTCAATGATAGATGTTGTCGGTGTTGTTCGAGAAGTATCAACAACCATGAGTATTCGACGGAAAAGCAATAATGAGACAATTCCCAAGCGTGACATTACAATTGCTGATGAGACGTATGTGTTATGTTTTTTTTTAATTTGCATTCACTTTGTTTGAACGTAAGTTGAAACTATGATATGTAAATTTCAGGAAGAAGACTGTTGTTGTGTCTCTATGGAATGATCTTGCCACAAGTGTAGGACAAGAACTGCTCGACATGGCCGATAAGTCACCAGTAGTTGCAATTAAATCACTCAAAGTTGGAGATTTCCAGGGTACTAAAAACATGTTGGAGATATTTTATTAATACAAACCAAGTTTAGTATAATCTGAACAATGTGCTAATTTTATGTTGATTCTTCAGGTTTATCATTGTCAGCACTAAGCAAAAGTGTTGTGGTAATCAATCCTGACTTGCCAGAAGCCAAGAAGTTGAGATCCTGGTAAGAAATTGTCCCGATGGATTATCAAATTTATCTCTGGCAAATTGTATGAACATTTGTTAATCGATACAGGTACGATTCTGAAGGCAAAGAGACTTCTTTGGCATCTGTTGGTTCTGGCTTAAGCCTTTCAACTAAAAGTGGTGCTCGATCTATGTATACTGATAGGGTCTTGTTATCTCATATCACCAGTAACCCATCGTTGGGTGAGGACAAGGTACATATATTTCCATGAATTTAATGGCTAAATCTTAGTATGATGGTGAAGATTAT